TGAAGTAGAGGTTTGACGGCCTCTTTTGTTATGATATTTTGCTGGACGCGAAGGTTGTTTATTGAACGAGAGAACGAGAGACTAGTAGATGGATTTATGTTGCTGAACAGGGGATTTGCATGGACGAAGCACCAGATTGATGGAGCGCTTGGGTCTGGGGTCAAACATGGGAAGATGGTGGAAAAGGTGTGGCTTGGTCAGGGATTTTGTGGTTGTCATTGGTTATGATTCGGCTAGCTAGCTTGGCAGTTAGCGGAGGCCCCAGAGTACATGACAATATAACCAGTGTTGAGAGTATGAGTCATTAAGGGCCTGTTCAGTGACCCCGTCCAGGGCTGTATAAGTCTGTACAGTGTCAGCTTGTACAGCCCTGAACAGCTCTGATCAGGGTTATACATACTAATCTGACTGAATAAGGTCTTCTGTTCAGTAGATTCTATGTATAACTCTGTATAACTTAATAACTTATCAAGTATATTAAACTAATAGTCAGATTCATATTATAGAGTTTAATAGTGTATTTAGCTGAAAAAGTAATAGATTTAAATCTATTTAAGTTAAATCTATACTGTATATACTGAAATGAGTTCTAATATATACTGATATGTTTTAGTATAACTATATAAAGTACAGAGTTTAAAGTACAGTATTCAGAGATCTGTAAATATTATTAAAAATTAATAATTATAATAATAATTATTATTATTATTCTTCAATTATAGATGTATATAGTCAGAGACTATGATATCTATCTAAGAATCTTTAGTTCTCAGAGTTTTTTCTATATCTATAGAGTTAACTATTATACACTTATCAATTTCAGATATATAAAATCAGAAAATTCTAGCTCAGAATACACAAACTGTTTATAAATTACAGTATTTTAACACCTATTAATACTTTGAAATCATTTGAAAATATTATGACAAAGGAAAAGAGAATATAGTCTTAAAGATAGACACATTAAATAGATAGATAGAAAAGAACAGAAAGAAATAAGTATAGTAAAAAGAGACTATAATAAAATAAAATTATTAAAAGATAGTGTATAGCTGTTTTAACAGACTATATTTAATTAATTTTCATCTCTTTATATTCAGATACTTCTGAGTTGAGTCATTTTCTTATAGCTGTTTAAGTTTCTGATAGAAAGTCTATTAAGTATTTAAGTTCTATCTCAGTTGAGAATAAGAATCTTATATTTAATTAATTTAAATCATACTTCTTCTTTAATCTGACTCTGAGACTATTGTATAATATGTAATATATTATAATATACTCAGAATTCTTATTTGTATTGCAGAATAAGCACTCTGTTAAATTAAATCTATTATTAAATCTTTATATATAGAATTTGAAATAATTATGTTCTAGTTTTAGCTGAATTATAGATGAGAATATTTTCTTTTTATATTTAATTAAATAAGATTTTCACTTTGATTTTATTTTAAATCTTGAATAATATATGCTCTTCTTTTATTTCTATCAGCTTTTATTTCACTTATTTAAACAAGATTCTTTTATCTTTCTCTTTATAAAAGATCAGAACACTGTTTTTTAAATAGATCTGCTTAATTCTGAACTCTTTTTTATAGCTGAATCAGTCAATTCATTGCTATGAATGTTTATATAAGTAGAAACTCAATACAGATAAATTATCAGTTTAGATATTCTTCTCTTTTAAATTTTCAAAACAGAGTTTAAAATCAGATTAAGATTTATTTGATTATTATAAATCTGACTATTTCTAAGTCTTTTTAAAGCAGCTTGACTATCAGAGAATATTCATATCTCTTTTAAACTATTTTCTCTTTTATAAGATTTTATTTCAATGAGTTTGAAAGCTTTCACTATTATAAATAGTTCAGTATCAAAGACTTCAGATTCATAGTCTAAATTTCAGAAATCTGAGATAAAATTGATATTATCTTCAGTATAAGCAATGTCTGTATCTAATCTATTTAAATTCTCATTTTTTGAGTTATCTGAGTAAATCAGAATAGAGTCTTTTATATTGATTATAGAGATCTTCTTTAAATACTGTTTATATTCTCTCTCTTTAGATAGTTCACTTATTTATAAGTTTATAAGAGATTTCAGCTTTTCTCTTCAGAGAGATATCTTCTCATGATCAATTTTCTCAACATTTAATGAAGAAAATTAATTCTTAATAAGTGAACATCATCTATACAGTTGAGAGAGCATTTTCTTTAAAGTATTATTTTCATTTAAATTAAGAAATCTATTTCAATTCAGTTTATTTCCTGAGTTAACTGATGAAAATGAAGAAGAGACTCTTTCTCTGATTATATAATTTAAGCTCATCTTTATAACTCTCAGAGTATAGTTTATACAGATCTTTTCAAATTGAATAGTAGAAGATGAAATTGAGACTTCAATTTCTATTATTTTAATAGAAGATGATTTAAATACTTTCAGAATTCTTCTCAAAGCTCTATTTTATAAACTTTGAAATAGTTCAGTGAAGTTATCTTAATTATTTTATTAAACTTAAACTTCATAATCAGCTACTGAGATAATACAGACTATATATAACTATCTTATAGTCTGAAAAGATAGATCTCTCTCAGTATTTAATAGTCTGATTATACTATTCAGTAGTCTCTCTATCTTGATAATTCTTTGTTAAATATAATATTTAAAATTCAACTTGAAGTTTAATCATACTTCTAGCTATTTGACATTCAAACTGAGTTTAATCTCTTTATTTAGAAGAGTTAGACTTAGTTCTTTCTTATTAAATCTGGAAAAAAAGTGAATTAACTCAGTTTTATTCATATTAAATTGAATTAGATTGATATCTGCTCTAATAAAGATTTTCTTTACTACTTTCTCAATCACTTTTAAATTCTCTTTAATTGTCTTTGAACTGTAGAGTAGATCAATATCATCTATATAACTTAGAGATTTTACTATTTTCATCTCTCTATTCTTGAATAAATATGCAGTGTATATTATAAATAAAATAGATAAGATTAAAGATTCTTATAATACTTCTTTTTTATCTCAGTTTTATCTTGTTTTCTTTCATCAAAGAATAGTTGTATAATTCTTTTAGATATGAAATAATCAACTCATTTTATTAGAGAAAGTGACAGTTTTAATATCTTCAAAGTTTGAATTATCTTAGACTTTGAAACATGATCAAATGCATCTTTTATATTAATAAAAACTACAGTTAAGACCAGGCCTTCATACTTTATTACTTAAATATTATGAATAACTGAGAGAACAGTATCAATTGCAGAATATTATTTTCTATCTCTTATTTATTTATTAAATAGAAGAGAATCACTAATAGAGCTTATAAAAAATAATCTAGTAGCTATTATCTTTTCTAGAACTTTTCTTAAACAGTTCAACAGACATATTACTTTATATAACTTAGAAACTAAAGCTTTTCTATTAAGTTTTATAAGAATTACTTCAGTAGCTTCTCTTCAGTATTCAGAATGATAATCATTTCTTAAGAGATTGAAAAAGAGCTCAAAATATTTATTCTTCAAGTAGAAATATATGTGTTGAATAATTAAATGATTAATTGAATCAGGCTCTGCAGCAGTTTTAATTGAACTTGAGAATATTACTGACTCTAGTTCATCACATATAAGCTCAGACCATTTCCAGTTATTTTCATTAATATATTTATGAAATAACATATTCTTCTCGCCCCGGTGGCCGAATGGTTAATGCGGCCAACATTAAATCCGGAACTCAAGCACCTCAGGTTTCTAATAAATACAGAGGTGTACAAATCGCTTCAATAAATCGCTCTATGTTCCTGGGCTGGGAAGTTATTATCGCATGTATCTAATTATCACTCCTTTGTATTTCCTATGTTCTTGTTATCTTGGCGTGGTCTCAACACCTGTATTTCCTCCTGTATAATCAACACTTGGCCTGTATTTAACATCACGCAAGAACTCATTATAAGCTCCGCTTGCATATGAGTATAATGAAAGAATAATAATAATAATAATAACATATTCTTCTCTTCTAAATATGATGAGTTTTGAAAGAGAATTCTTATAAAAGCTTAATATTTTTTCTTAAAAGAGTTTACTGTATACAATTCATTCTGAAATTTATATTCTAAGGTTGAAAGCTTTGCTACACTTCTTGTTTTAGTATAGTTAAAGACTTTAAAAACTTCTTTTTCTTATACTTCTTTAAGAAATTTGTTTCAGTAATCTGTTTTGACTTTTTTAATATCTGAAAAATATTCATTTCAAATAGTTTTAAACTCTTCATTAGATATTAAGTTATTCTTTTACTCTCTTTTAACAGTGATTAATTGCTTTCTTTTAAAAGTAATATTCTCATTTCATCAAGGTTTGAAATACTCAGAAGACTTTTTCTTTAGAATATTTTCTTTAATACTGTAAGAATAAGTGCTCGCAGGCGATTATTCAGGTGTTTGCAGCTTGGCATGATATGTACTGTTAACTACTAGAAGTGTTCACAGTAGAAAGATAAATGTAGAAATTAAATGTATAATAGTATTCAAGCTGAGTTATGAATAGTATTCACAAACTCCAGTCTATATAGTTATGTATAGTCAAGGGCCACTAGCTCTATTGATTACATAAGAGATAGAAATAGAGATAAAGAATTCACAAGAAGTGAGATTTCTTACATATCTCTCTCTCTCTAAGACTTTGTCTGTGAAGTCTTTCACTGAGTGACTTCATAGTCAGCTCAGCACTGCAGTGATACTCACTAAAAATTCTTCACATCTATAAAAAACCTCAGTGAGGAAAAATCCCTTGTTACTGTGAAGAGAAAAGAGTCTGTCACTCAGTTTCTTATTCTGTAAGATTCTTTATAATCTACAGATTCTTCTCTGACTATCACACAGATTCATCTTACATCTTT